TATAGACATTAGGTAAAACTTTGCCTGAAACTTATTTACATTTTATTTAACCGATAAAGATACCTATTTAATATAATATAATATTATTGACTATACACAAGAATAATAAGAACGATATTATAACCAAAATATGTAATAAATTTAAGACAAAGAAATTAAGAAATACTATATAAGTAATATTAGTATACTAAGTATACTATACCATAACTATGTATATAAATATATATATATTACCTATATAAGACGTTGAACAAGCGATAAGTGGTCATAGGTAATAGTATATAATAGTATGTAGGTATACAATTCAAAATTATATTTTAAAAAAACATAACAATACTAAGCTTTTCAAAATTATTATAATAGATAGGTATAAATATTATCAATATAACTTTTTTAAATATAATAATGGTTTAATTCTAAAGGCTTACAGGTTATATTTTAATGGATCTGTTGGAAATGCAGGTGTTGATTATTTAAAAATTAGAAAAATTTATTTTTTGACAAATGGACGGATTTAAGAAATACCGTAACATTTAAAAAGTCTTTATACAAAACTGATTTTACTTTTGTTGGGTGCCAAAATAGGCAATATTGTAAAATTATATTAAGAACTTAATTATAATAATAAAAAATTTAGAAATTTATAGGTAGGAAGTTCCCTTCAATGTTTTTATTAAATATTAATACATAAATATATTTCAATCAAACCTTAAAAAATATTATATTAATATTATTTTTGATAATTAGGCATTAATTATAGGAGTGATTGAGAGAGTTCACCAATTGCTGCAAAACATTTTCCTATGACCTTTAAAATGAATTTAATTTTTAAAATTACAGTTTTTAAACATGAAGGTCATAAGTTAAACTCATTATTAATAAATACATGTGATACACATTCAATTTCAATTCATAAAACTCTATAAGCTTTTGATAAATTTCTTTTTAGAATTGTATTTTTTGCTCAACTAATAAAGTAATAAATACATAAGCTATCACCCAATAGATTACGAGTTTACCAAAAAATAGTTAAAAGGTTAAGAAGATCTATAAAGTTCAATTGTTTATGATGATCAAGTATCCACTAACCTAAAAAAACAAATTTTTCTTAAATAAATTCCCTAGTTAATATGTTAGTATTTTAGTAGGTATTTAGTAAATAGACATTGAATACATTAGCAGTATATTTCCTAATACGTATCAAACATTCAACAGCACAGGAAGCCACCAAATGAATAAAATAACTCTGGAGGAATTGTTTGCTTCTGATCTATATGACTGRGTACAGTGAGTCCAAAACATAAACAATGTGTTATTATAAAATAAACAGATAATTGAAGCTTAAAATCCGATAATATTGTATTATTTTTCTATTTTTTAGATTGTAATTTGTAGGTAGGTAACTGTAATCAATTGTACTGCCAAATTAGTTGAAAAAAATTTAATTTAACATTTGAAAAAAATGTATTATTAGATGCAATTATTATTATACTATTTAGATATTGAAATAATATTATTATAATTATTATCTAGATAAAAAAATAGCAATTTATAAGAATGTAAGCTTAACTGGTATATATAATTTAGTCAGATAATCATAATCAATAGTTTTATAAATTAAACTCATAAAACAAAATTTGAATTGGTAACATGGTTTAAGGCCGCATTTTAAATAAACTTAAAATATTTAAGTAATTCATATAGTTAATGCTTTTAAAATATAAGCAAAATATAAAAGTTGCATTTTGCCAATCTAAAACTTTCTGCATACATAATGTCATACATACAAATTGAAGATATAAAATTATGTTTTAAATAAATGATCTTGCCACTTCATATAATATAAGTAAAAACTAGAAAAGATACTTAAAATGTATAAAGACATAATATAGCTTAGTAGGTATGTAAATATCTAAGTAGCCAGTACAAATCCAACTTTATAAATTATTTGTATTTTTTATCTAATATAATATAATAGGTAATAATAATGTTTAATGAGCTCCACAAAAACTTTTAAGTATGAAAAAAATGTTTTTATATTATTATATGTTCTTTTAATATATAGTTATTCTTAAGAGGGCACAATACCCAATGTTCACACAGATCCTCCCCTGCTGTCGGTTCAAACGGAAAAAAAAAAAAAAAAAAAAAAAAGGGCACAATACCCGTATTTTTTGTCTTAGTCTTACAAACGCGTAACAAACACACTTAGTTTTTAAGCTAACGGAGTAAAACGTGAACTGCTGAACGTAATTTTTTTATGTTACACATTTGTTAGATTGAGACATTGAGTCATTGAGACAGCAAATACCTACGGGTGTGGAGCCCTTTCAACCATATATGTAATGTTATCAAAATATTAAATCTGTATTTAATCATATAATATGTTTCACTATACATGTTTTAATAAAATATATTCCTGAAAACAAGTTTCTCAAGCCTTCATCTTAATTGATCAAAGCGTAATACTRTTATAAGTATAATGCTAGAATTGGATAATAATATAGGTAGTCAATAGTCATATAGAGAATGTGAGGAGACATAATATTATATTTAAATTTGTTTTTAAATATTTGAGCGTACCTCAACTTATATTTTACAAAAGTAGACTGGTGGATGTTACTTAAAACAAAAATATTCTAGAATATTTATATATTTTGTTTTCCAATTCTAGCATTAATTTAAATTCATGTAAATCAGTTAACCTATAATGTTAAAAATTGTAATAAAAATGTAAATTTAATTGACTTTTGATTCTTGACAAAACAAATTCACTAATCATTTTGATGTAAATAAGTTAAATAGGTGTATAGAATTTATCAATTATCCAATAAATGTAATAATATTATATTAATTTCCAACTAATAATTTTATATGATTACGCTTTATAAGATAAAAGTCAGCAAATAGAAACATCAATAGGTACATAAATATAGGTTGTTACGAAATTATAATTTATCAAATATACGAAATTGAAATATTTTTAAGTCAACGGTAGGAATTATTTTCGTAGGTAGCTAATAATCAAAAAGCTATACTATTACTGTCTTATGAGTAAGTAGGGACTAACAATGAAACGTTTATAGTAGGTACAATGTTATAATAACAGTTAGCCTGCAAACTTTATCGTTGCATGATTCAAAAATATAATTAAATTAAATTCTTGCGATCATAATATTAGGTATGTTCGTTCGGTGTTATTAATAAAAACATTTATTTAACGCAAATGCAAAACAGGATATTAATTATTTAAATACGGTACAAAACACTTAGATGTTTTGATTAAAAATATGTTTAGTTAAATGGCACAAGCCTAAATAAGAGTTAATTGTTATTTATAGTAATAACTTTATGGAGTGAAAATCGTCTTAACAACATCACCCACGTCTCTATAATATGACGTGCATTATATATAACATTATGTTAACARTTCGTTTAGGAATAAACGCTTTAAAATAATACTTGGTCAAAAATAATATAATATTCGGCCAATAGGATAATGACCACGGTCTTACAAGACCGTGATGATGACCGCGACCTAATTAACAATAATTAGATAATAATTAAATATTTTAATTATAGATTATAATAATATATAATATAGCAATTCATTTTTTTATTTTTTAGCAGAATTAATGTCGATGCTAATATAGTCATATTGAATAAAGTTGCGCTCACATTTCACTTTAACAATAATACTAAATCGAAAAAGGTTGCTGCAAACATCACCAGATAAATCTAATTTTTATTTTTATTTTTTTTTTKAAAGTGCACATTTTCACGGAATAAAACAAAAACAAAACCCAAAACCTTGTGAAATTATACCAGCTATAGATAGGACATATATGTATCTATAGATACTATTTTTATATAATATAATTTAAGATATAAGTAGCTATGTTAGGTAAAGTTTTTTAGTGAACGTACTTGTTTAAAGTTTTTTTTTTTGTGCAATAACAGAATAATAAGACGATGAGTCCGTGGATTTTTTGCTGCAAATAATGGTCACATTGCAACAGAGGGAAAAACCAGATAAGTCCATATCGATTGAAGTCTGTTACATTAGTAT